CGGTGGCGGAAAAAGAAAGTGGTTCGGGTGGCGACTTGGTTGGCCAGCCGTTGCTTCAGACTGCCCCGTTTCGTTTCCTTCAGCGGTCATTTAGAGACCCCGCCCTGGAGAAACTGTATCAGTCCTACAGCGTGAAACAAAAGCGTGCTGGATTGGAGGTTTTCCTTTACGCCGCTATCTTGTATGATGTGTACATGTTGGTGGTGCCGGGTGGACAGGACGCCCTCATGCGTGGGCTAACCATCGCTTTTCTTGGCCTGAACCTCGGACTCCTCGCTTGGTGCTGTCGCGGAGTCCAGCACTCTTCGGTATGGGCCGCCGTTCCCCATCTTGCCTGGCATCTCGCCAACTCTCAACTACTCGCGCACTTGTTCCTCAAGAAAAACGAGGTCACGGGCAGGGATTCTCTGGGCTGGGTCTTGTTACTTGACTATCTGCTCTTCGTGACACTACCACTGAGACTCCGCTACTGTGTGGTGCTTAGTGCGGGCACGTGTGCTTCTTACCTCGTGGCTATTGTGGGCCTCGGGAAGTCGGACGCTCATCTCCTCCAACAGGTAGGAAGAACCGTTTCAGCTTATGAATGAGAAGGCAGTCAGTAAGTCAGACAATAGGTCAGCCAGTCACTAACTCAGTCAGTCAGTCAGTCATACAATAAGTCAGTCAGTAAGTCAGACAATAAGTCAGCCAGTCACTAACTCAGTCAGTCAGTAAGTCAGACAGTCACTAAATGAGTCATTTAGTCAGTCAGTCAGACAATAAGTCAGTTAGCCATTCACTAACTCAGTCAGTCAGTAAGTCAGAAAATAACTCAGTCAGTCATTCACTAACTCAGTCAGTCAGTAAGTCAGGCAATCAGTCAGACAGTCACTAACTCAGTCAGTCAGTCAGTCATACAATAAGTCAGTCAGTAAGTCAGACAATAAGTCAGCCAGTCACTAACTCAGTCAGTCAGTAAGTCAGAGTACATAACTTTGTGGAAAATAGTCAACGGTGTAGAACGATTGGCAAAATGCATTCAACGTAGACCATAGTACCAAAACTGCATATTTTGGTTAAATTATTCGCTACATATATGCAATTAATAATTAATAAATAAGACTAATATGTATAAATTATTTAGTGCCCAATGCTTTAGATTATTATTTACTTAATATTGGCTCCCGATTCTGATTAAAACACCTATACTATAAATTCGTTGTTTATTTTACTTGTAAATGTTGATTTTATTGAATACTTAGTTACATTTTCTAAAATGTCGTTCTTTCTGTATTAAAAAGAAGGAAAACAACTGCTTGAAGCATTTCACGGCAGGCTACGCACATAAGCTTCAGCTATAATGTGGAACATCTCCAGTATATAAACACGTGACGAGAGTATTTTAGTCTTACAGTCAAGGTCGCTGAATAATTAATCTGGCGGCGTTTTTTAGAGTGTCCTGGTTTGGAATGCGGTTAAATTCATATTAACACGAATTTCATTATGAATTAAACTAAATGAGGGCAGTAGAACATTCTGACAATTTCGGTGTACGAGAAACAAGTATGAAGAATGTTTTTTTGTTTTGGTTGAGTGAATTAATTTCTTACGACAAAAAGCTTTAGACTTCAATCACAAACAAGCTTAAATTATTGTCATAAATTGTCATAACGAAGAAGATAACTGGACCAAAATAATCAGATATATGATTGTATAACAACTGAAAATGTTGATTTAAGTAATATTAATTATCTCTACGCGAAATCGGAAACCGGAAACATACATTTGTACATACGAGTAATTCATGACGATTTTACAGAGAGGAAGTTCTACTCTCTCAATGAAATTACAAAAGTAAATATGCAAAGGATACGGCTGGAAGGTGTGTTACATATAATATACTGGATTACGTACATTATGATCGAAAAGTCATGTAATCCATATTAAAATATGTATTGATGGTTGCAATTTAATACAATTTGTTTGTATTTATAAACATGCGATATCACTGTGACTTAAAAAGAGCCCACGAAGGCCACCTCTTCTTGTAACCTGCTCGAGCCAATCTGTCAGTTATCTTTAAAAAAGTGAGGGGATGTATTTTTCACAAGTGCAACGAGTATTCATTCTCTAACACTGCCTGACATCTCGTTCCTACTTAACTAGCCAGAATGAGTTTAAGGGTACGTTCCCGATTATCCTAGGACAAACAAATAGTCATTATCTCGTCCGGTGAAACTTTCCTGTGACCTCGTTAAGTCGAAATATTATGTAATTTACCTATATTTTATATCTCGATCAGTCTAAGAACACCTATGAAATTAAATTTTAATTAAAAATAAGTTAATTATTACAGTACAACGATATAAAACATACGAAATTAGGTCTAGTGTTGACTTAAAGTATAAAATTTCACAAAAATCCAAAATATTCCGGATAAACATGCAGACAGCCGGTCAGACGCGACCTCTCCTGCGTGCGTTCACTTATTCGAAAATCACGCAAATATAATTCTAGTCTAAATTAGAAGAAGCAATAAATTATGCGGTTTATAGACACCAAGCACAGACCTCATGACGGGAAACTCATCACAGGATCATCACAGAAGAGGCTTCATTCTATTGTTATGCTGTCACAATAGAAACAACAATCAATCACTGCGACTGCTCATTTCAGTGGAAATCACATTTGGAAACCGGTTAGAAAAATTGTAATTTTTTTACCGATAAAATGAATAAAAATGATGTGAATGTTTCAAGTGTGAATACAACAGGACTAAATCATACGTTTATGTAGCATACATACAAGTAATGCACATGTAATTCAGTGGTTATGAAAAAAGTGTACAGAAGTTCGATGCCTTTTAGTCTTCCAGAGCTTCCGGGTTCAAATTTACCGGAGACTAAGATTTTCCGTAGTTTTCTTTATTTCCGCCAGGAAACTACTAGTATGGTATTTTAAATTACGCCACAGCCGTTTATATCCACATCACTACTCAAACACCACGCTATATAATCAGCTTCGTTAAGTAAAGCATAAATAAAAATAAGCAGACTCTACATCCGCTTTGTACATCGGAAATCCACTCTCCTCTTCCACGTGACTGAAACCTCAAGTGTTTCACACCACTACTGACATCTATCTATGAAAATGAAGCAGAGGATCAGCAGCCCGAAATAATTAACACAAAGACTTATCGTGATTACTGAGTCTTCACTAATAACACGAGGCTGGGCGAACTGAACTGAGCTTCAAGACTGTCAACTTACATACCTTTGTAGAACCTGTCATGAAAACAGCTGTTAGGAATTTTCTCACCTTTTTTTTTACCGACTATTATCTCCGTCAACCAACCAACTGCATCGAACAGAGCTTCTGAGAAGCTGACATTCGCTCAGATAGTCAAAGAATTCCGACTTTTATGGAATCCAGATGTAATTTAACGCAAACAGTCAGAAACATTCAAACTTCAACTATCAGGTTCTAAAGTTGTTTTACTGTTTCAGACTACGTGAATCTAAGCATTGCCTTAATTAATGGATCCATCATTTCAGTTCAACGAATTTTTGTTGAACATACTAAGTAACCACCAAGGAAAGCTTCATTTTCCTGAAACAAGTTCAGTTCTGACACAGACGTTAATAGTTACTGGTAATAATTCTTTGTGTAACTTATGGCTTCACGTTTCGCTTCTCAACACGTATATATAATCTATAACGAATGAGAAGGTATAATCACTGATAGAATGGGTTATCACAGCGATTGGGGATCTTTTTGATATATCTAGAAGGATGTGAATTATTACATCCGAATGATCGTAAAGATCCATTTCAGGTTTCCTCTTCTTAGTAGGCAGTATCAGCAATGCCGAAAAGTCGAATAAATAAGCTCGTCTTATGTTCCCCATTCCATGTAATTGATACAAGGAGGAACAGATTTATTTTTAAGTTCTGAACAATTATATCGAAAGAAATTAGCGTAGACAAAGATCTTTGGGTCCCCACCTAAAGAACCTTGGTTTCAGTTGAAACAAATCATTTTATAATAAATAAAAACGCTAAGGTATGCAAGTACCTCAAAGGTTTAATTTCATCTGTGTAGCATTCGTCAAATTCCAGACAAAATAAATAATTATATTAGGGCACTGAAGGCATTTATTAGCAAAATGTGTTAATGAGAATCTGTTCAGTATATCTGTAGACTGCTGACTAATTAAAAGACAAACCAATTAATTTAATAAATAAATATCAAATGAACAATATAGCGCAATGACAAAGTATGTACCTTATTAAATGATTACGCAACTAAGTAATAAATTAAAAAGTCTTCGATTTGGATAACAGGTTGGGATTTGTTTTGTACGGCTAAGCAACTGTTTTCTTCTGAGGAGGAACAATGTACCAAGGAGTTGGTTAAATATTGCTTTTCAAAGAATCTCAACGGAGTTATAGTCGATACTTGGGACTGCTGAACACAGATATCATGATATATCCTACATATTTTATTTGCACAGAAAACCAATCCGCTTAATAGGAGAAGGGTTTGCAGCACAAAGCCACAGTAAGTAGGGCCTCGTAAAATACTCATACATTCTGTGTAGTGTGGAATACTAGAATTTCTGCTTGGAGTGTTCATTGTAACGCTGAAGCCTCCAAGCTTTCTCTAGTGGCAAGTGGCAACTTCAGTGTTAGGTCAACAGTAGCATGCAAAAGAAAACGACTGCCACAGGAAATACGAAGCTTTGAAACCAAACAACTTCGCGGTAATGCCATCCAGACGCATCTGTCATAAGGGCATAGATATATTTAAAAAATTATTTTTTGTATTGACGTGTTTGTTTATAACGCAGACTCCCTCAGAAACCTTATTTGTGCTATTTCCAGATTCCATATTCGGTTGCGCTATGAAGTGTATTCTTATTTTATTTTCAGATATTTGTTTGACAAAGTTCCTGACACTGGTTTTAATATTGCAAACATATCTGTTTATTTGCGCGTGTGTGGTGGAATACTTAAATCATATATATAAAATGTATAAATTAAAACTGAGATGTGTTTAATCTTAAATTTCATAATTTAGAACTCGCTACTCTCAGAATACCAAAAAGTAGAGCAAGTTAAAATCTAACGTGCGTACAACAGCGATCAATTTATTATAGTGTGCTTAAAGTTTTTATAGTGATAGATCTTCACAGATTTCAGAAAATGTTTATATTATTATATTGCGGAATTAAAACATAACATGCTATCATGTATAACAGTCTACAAGTTTACTTTTCTTTTATAGAAATAACTTGTACGTAAAGATTTATGTGGTGAAGACATACCCTAATCGTGCCTGTAATTTGTTATGATTTATTTTGTTGGTTAAAATTGTAAACGTGGTTTGGGCGCAAGATTCCGATGACAGGTACGACAGGTTTCAGGAAGTGAAATTTCTAACAGCAGAAATTATGGACAGTTTTAAATCACAGTGGTTCGTAATTATTTATTACTTCCGCTAACATTTTTTTTATAAAATATAAATAAATACAGGAAGTTGTAAATTTACCCGAAAACTATTGTTTATATATTTATTA